GGATTCAGTGATGAAACTTCAAAGCTCCCCAGCATGGTGACCTGATTTCGGCTTCTGCTGACTCCTACTGCAGGACCACCCATTGTGCTCTTGTTTTCCTTAGGGAAACAAGAGCCTTGTTCTTCATCCTTGGTGGCCAAAGATGCAAGGCTGAAGAAGATGCTGCAAAAGAGTTTCCTCTGGCCACCTCTAACTCATGAACACCACGGAAATGCTGTTTCTCACCTCCAGTCTCTATACTGCTGCTAACATAAGTGATCATTTGTAAGTGAGAAAACTAAGTGTGGAAAAGTGAACATATCTGTACAAGGTCATTTCTACAATAGGAGAGTGAGCATGCAGACCCTGTTCCTGGTGTCTGGCAGCTACCTCCCTGCCATATGAAGGCAGGGGATCTTTTTGCAATAGTACATGGCTTGGGGCAAGGGGACCTTCTATCATTTAGCTCCTTAGCCTTGGGTCTCTTGATTCATGTTCCACATGCAAGTTTCTGAGCCTTGAATATGGCCAATGACGTTTGCCCAGCAATCACTGCACTCCTATTACCTGCAAACCCCCCTCCCAGGTGCATGGGATTAGCAAGGGATTATGCAGCATATGCATTAGCATGTAAATGCCCAAGTGCTTTAAAATTTGATCCATTTCTTTTCCTTTTTACACATTATAATTATTGACACATACTAGTTGTATAGAGTAAGGGGATTCTTTATGATATTTTCATATATACATATACTGTGTATTGGTCAAGTTTGTCAACTCCTCTCCTATCTTCTTGATCTATTCTAACTCTCCTCCCAGGCCTGTATAGCCCCTCTTCTACTTTATTTTTTAGTTTTCACATATGAGAGAAAACATGCAATATTTGTCTGTCTGAATTATTTTGTTTAACATGATATCCTCCACTTCCCTGAATTTTTCTGCATATGACTGGATTTCATTCTTTTTTTATGGTTGAACAGGGTGTGTGTGTGTGTGTGTGTGTGTGTGTGTGTGTGTGTGTTTGTGTGCATGTGTGCACATGTGCATGCCACGTTTGCTTTGCCCATTCTCTTGCTGACACATACCTAGACTGATTGCTTGCCTTGGTTATTGTGAATAGTGCCTCTCTTGCTCCTATCTTGCTCATTAGCCATTGTTGTATAACAAAGCATTCCCAAACTTAGTGCCTTATTGCAAAATTTTATAATTGGCACCCAATTTTCTGGTTTTCCTAGGCTCAGTTGTGTAGTTACAGTGTCCTGTCAAATAACTTCAGTCAGATTGGGGCTAAAACTGCAGTACATTCCCATGGCTTAACGTCCAGCAATAAGAAAGGGAGGACTGGAACGTATCTTGAGGGTAGAACACTTGCCTAGCATGCAGGAGGTCCTGACTTCCATGCCCAGCATGAGATTGTATAAGAGCTTACAATTGATTTGTAAGACCATAGGGAGAATGGAACATGGATAGAGGAGCATTATTTGCTATCATAAAGCAAAAGAAATGGCAAGCTTAGTGCCTACAGAGAGGAAAACTGATGAGACCTCATTTCACTGCAGAGCCTTGGAAGCAGTGAAATTCTGTGTGATACAAATCTATAATTGTTTGCCACTGCTGGTTTTCTTTCTGTCAACAAGAGCGCACCATTCTTGTGTAGGGCATTGAGTTGAGAAACACTGATTACCAGTTGTGTGAGTTACTTTTCATTGGTTGTTGAGACAAAATACCTGACACGTAACATGCAAGAAGGAAAGGATTATTTCTTACAGATCAGAGGTTTCAGTCCCTACTCAGTTGGCTCCAAGGCAAAGTGACATGGTTGAGGGGAAGCAGTTAATCATGGCTGCAAACAGCAAGCATGAACAGCAAAAGAGAGAGACACGCCTTCTTCCCTCAGGTACACTGTATGCTGGCTCCACTCCTGGGCAGGTGTAGCACTCATACCACCAATCTGAGTGCTAGACAATGAACCAATCAGAAATACTGGATTTGGCCACATTCATTATTGTATGATGCTTGGGAGGGGCACTGACATAAACTATGACACCAGTAGAGGCAAAGAGACTGCTCTCATACTCTCAGCATGAAGCTTAAGGTCTACTGAGGTAGGGGGATATTTATCAAATCACTTTCCAAGTATAGGCTGAAAATTCCTAATCTGAAATCTGAAGTCTGAAATGCTTCAAAATCCAAAACTTTTCACTACTGATGTAGTGCCAAATTGAGAAATTCCACAAAAAGAAATTTTGTTTCAAACACAAAATGTTATTTAATTAAGATTATTGGTACATTTTAGATGTAAATAATAATCATGTTAATTGTGGGAAATTTGTACCATACATGATATGAATCTTTTTTTTTTCTCCATTCCTGTACCTTTCCTTCAACTCCCTTCCCCTCCTTATTTATGGAAGGCTGGTTTCCTTCTTTTCTCATCATTTTTTTCATTTCCCTTCTTCCTTTCTCCCTCCTCCATCCATAATTCCCCTTCTCATTAGAAAATGTTCAAATATCTATTTTATTTTAGTCCTTATCTACATTTTCAGTTTCCCACACCAGAGAAACAACACAATACACATGTTAACCACAGAATTAATACAAATACTTTAATTCTATAACCTGAACAGCCATTTCGAAGATGACAATTTGTAACTTATCAACTGGCAATTTCTTACCTTTTGTTTGTCTGTAATTTAGTATTATTTCTACCCTTTTTTTAAATCTCCATGTATTTTTTTTTTCGTTTCCTTTTCTTTAAATAAAAAAAAATAAATATTGTATAAAATTATCTTCAGGCTCAGAGTATGAAGTATATATAAACTATAAATAAATTTCATGTTTAGACTTGAGTCCCATCCTAAAAATAACTTATTATGTCTATGCAAGTTCTCCAATAAATAAAAAATCAGAAATTCAAAACACTTCTTTTCCCAATCATTTTGTATAAATGACACTAAATATGCAGATGTTTACTTAATAACCTCAAGGAAGAAGTACCAGGGCTGATGAAAATATACAGCTAACATTCAAATTCTTTAAATTTACTACAATAAGAGATACATACTCATTAATCTTCCTTAAGAAACACATTCTGAAAATAAATTAAATAAAATACACCTCCTCGCTTCAAACACACTTCTCCATTTGTTCTTGCAATTTTTGGAGCAGTTTGGAAGTCCTCTTTTGCGAGTGTCTTTACAAATTGTGATAAAAATATAGTGAGTACTGCTGCTGAGTGCCATCCAATGGAAAGAACAGTTCATAAATACATTATGGTGTGTCTTCATCCACCTTATTCACCAGATCTGAACCCTTGTGACTTCTGACTCTTCTCCAAAATCAAAATGGTCATTGAAAGGTGAATAGTTTGAACTGATTCAAGACCTTGAGGCAGCCACAAAATCAAAACTAAAGATCCTTATAAGAGGACTTCCAGAATTGATTCAGAAGAAAATGGCAAGAATGATGGAATAAGTGCATTCAAATGAAGGAGGAACTGGGTGTGGTGGTGCACACCTGTAAACTCAGCACTTGGGAGGCTGAGGCAGCAAAATCTGAGTTTGAGACTAGCTTGAGCAACACAGTGAGTTCAAGGCCAGCATGAACTCCAAAGAAAATCCTGTCTCAAAAAACTAACAGCCAACAAGCAAAGAACACCTAGGTGATTGTTTTATCACAGTTTTGTGTTTGTGTGTAGATTACTAACTCATTGAAGATGGAAGACCTTCCCTGTGTGTGGTTGGCAACCAATAGTGCATCCTGGAGGCAGTAAAAAGGGAAAGGAGAAAGTCTGTCTTCTGCCTCTTCAGAAGAGTTTGAGTCCTTGCCATCACCTTAGGTCTCATTTCCATGATCCTAGCACAGATTCTTCTGCTTCCTTCCAGAGACTCTCCCAGGACTCTGCTGTGAGCTCCAGGCCTTAGACTTATGTGTTGACATTTTGCATCTCCAATGAGCACCTGGCCCTTTTGCGTTCTTCTCCACCAGAGAAGATGGCCTTCATAAGCCTCCTTTGTAAATCCTTATCTGTCACACACACACAAATTAAATCTGATCCTCTAGTGCACCCTGACACAAAATGCCTCTAGCTACCTGTGCAACCTCCCATGAACAATTTCATGCCTCACTCATGTGAAAAATCCAAAGCAGAACTGCAGCAGTGCTGTGCTAATTATGGGTTAGTTAACAGAGATGTTGGTGTTGGGCCCAATGGGTTAAAATTCTGTCCACTGCTTTGTTATTGGAAAAGGTATTCAATGTTGGTGTCTAGGCTCACACAGCTATGAAAATGAAGATAATTCCTAACTCACACTCTTGCAAGAATTAACATATGTAAAGCGTCTCAAAGGGCCCTGGCCTGACACCTGTAAGTGTTACATATTTTTATCGGTACCAAGAAACAAACTCATGACTCCCTACTTTCAAGGCAGGTGCTTATGCCGCTGAGCTAAATCCTCAGCCCCCATGTAAAGATACTTTTAAGATATAAAGAAATCAGATGATGGATACTGAAAGCACTCATTTCTCTGTAATAAAAAGAAGGGCAACAACACAAATATCAATTGTATCTGAGCACTTGCTATATGCTAGGAACCATGGGAAGAGCTCTTCATTGGATCTTCATAGCAGTGCCAAGAGATGAGTATTGCCATTCATAACGGTTTTTTTTTTTAATGGAAATAAACTCTCAATATTTCAAAGCGAAATAATAGGAGAATAACAATAGTGAAAATTGAGGCTCCCAGAACAGAAGCAGTGTGCCTAAGGTCAGGCCAGGGAAGATGTCTGAGTCCAGACATCCATAAATTCCAAGCCTCACACTCAGTCCACTCCTCTGCTTCCTGTCATAGAAGGCCTGGGGCTCAGAGTCTCCCAAAAGCCTCACCAGAGACCTGCAACCACACCTTGCTTCAGCCTGACCCAAGCCCCAAAGCCACGCCCCCTTCTTGACCCCCCCCTGCCCACCACAGGAGGACTACATACCTATTGGGTTCCAATTTTCTGGCCACGCCCCTTGCCCCGCCTCCCAAGCCGCTGAGCCCCACCACTGGCCTCAAGCGAAGATTACATTCCACCTGGCCCAACCTGCGCGGGCCGCGCCCACGGACTGTCCCTCGCCTTGCGCCTGCACATCCCACTCAGTCCCGCGCTGCCCCTGGCCTCGCCCTCGCAGTGGATGCCTGTCTTGTGCACGGAGTCGCCATTTTGCCGCTAGAGAAGCCCTCTGGAGACCTGAACGCTCTTTTTTCAGTGGCCTAGCCTGCGGCGGCCCTGGGGCTGAGGTCTGGGCCAGGTAGGCGGGCGGGAGCCGGCTGTGAGCGGCGGCGCGGCCCGGTGGCCCCGAGGTTAGCGGGCGCAGGTGCCTCGGCGGGGAGTCCTGCCTGCGGTTTCACGGGCCCAGGGCAGCGGGCATGGCTCTGGGGGCGACCCGGCCTCAGCCCGCAAGGCCCCTCTCTCCCTTCCTCCCTTCTCTACTTCAGGAGTCCACACAGCCAGGCCTGGCGCGCGGCCTGGAGTCGTTGGCCCCCGCCAGGCGCTGCTGGGAACCCCGCTCTGATGTGGGACCTGTGGGAGGTCGCTCAGGTCTCACATGGCCTCTGCTGTCACTGAGCCTGGCTGTGCTGAGCCGGGGACATTTACCCCCAAAAGGATGATTTCATTCCACTCCGAGCTCCTCCCTGCAGAGACTGAAAGAGGACCAAGATATTACAGTAAATAGCAGTTATTATTCTACCTGCACATGCTTTGGCTCAATTCCCTTCCATTGATAAGGGGTTTCTGCTTCTTTTAATATTGGTGTCACTTGGGTGTTTAGGTTTGTGGGGAGACTGAATGCAGCATGGGGCTTTGACAACAAGGCAAAGTGTGATCACTAGGGTTTAAAAATTTAAATCCACAAATAAAAATAATTCACCCACATAATTGAACCTTGCTACAGAATATGCATCTTGCCCGTATTCGGCTGTCTCTAACCATTACTACCCAGTTCTGCTCATATTGTTTATATATTTGCATAGTGTTGAATATTTATATTATATGCATAGGTAGAGGTTTAGTTAGTTATCCTGTTACTGACCATGTACAAAAGTCTAGTTCCTCTTAGAAAAGTTGCATTGAGCATATATCATTTTTTCATGGGATAAATTCCAGAATTTGGAAATACTAATTCAGAGTTCTCTGTTCTTTCCCTGCCACTTGACACGAACTGGTGCCTAACGAAGCCATGTTTACATCTTTCAAAATCTAGGTATTTGTCCAATTATCTTGGAAAATTTGGAGTTCAGCAAGATGTTGATTCATTTTCTGTGCAGACTGAGAGACAAGCCACACAACCTGTTGTTGGATTTTGCTTTTAAGTCATGTACCATGTTCATCTTTTTATTCTGATTGACTCTATTCTGTTTTGTTTCATTTGGCTTCATTCTCTTTAAAATAAAATTAAAAAACATTTTCTTGCTGAGCATGGTGGTTCATGCCTGTAATCCCAGCACTCTGGAGGGTTACACAGGTGCCTAACCCTCCAGGGAATGCCAACCGAGCCTGAAATACTTGGTGAGTTCAAGGTCATGCTGCAGTACATAGCAAGACCTTATCTCTGAACAAAATGAACAAACCCTTTTTCCTCTTATCTTATTTTAATGTAGCACAAATAGACACTAATAAAAATATGAAACCCCTTATAAATAGATTAAAGATTTCATATTATGCAGTTTATATACTATGAAACTATAGTATATTTATATACTATAGTATAATTTATATAACTACTCTAAAACTGCATAGTATGAAACTAGTATGAGGTATGCAGTTTCATATTATGCAGTTTATATTCTATGTTTAGTGATCCTGGGGATTTCTGCATGAGCTATATGCCCCTGCACTTAAAAAAAATTTTTTTTTTGAGACAGGGTCTAAATAATTCACTCAATTTCACAGGTTGAGTTTAAACTTGTGGTCCTCCCAGAGTGCTGGGAGTACAGGTTCACGCTATCCTTACTTAGAAATTCACAATAATTATGTATGTTTATGGGATAAAAATGTGCCTTTAATCTATGGCTCCTTTGTAGAAAGAATCAATCTAGTTAATGTACCTCCTGCATTACTAATCTACAAATTCTTTCACAGTGACTAGGACTGCAAATCCCATTGTTTAGCAGTTTTGAAAGCTATTCTTCTTATTAACTCTGGTTACCATAATGTTTAGTGGACAATTCAAAATTTCTTCTCCACCGTGACTGAGATTTTGTATTCTTGGGTGAACATTCTCCTTTCACCAGCTCTTGTGGAACTGATCATTTTTTTTAAAAATCAGACTGCCAAAGAAAGGTGTGAAGGCTCAAGGAACTTGGGGCACATTGCTATTCAGAAAGCCCAAGTAGTGGTACTCTGCAGGCTCCCAGGTTTTATTGTTTTTTTGTTTGTTTTTTCCTTAACTGAATTCTAGGAATTCAATGCAGGGCTGTCTTAGTTACTTTATACTTGTTGCTGAGACAAAATATCTGATGCCAAAAGTTGGGAAAGGAAAGGTTTATTTCTTACAATTTTTGGAAGTTTCAGTCCATACTCAGTTTGCTTTACGGCAGGCTGGCATGGCAGGGCCAAGGTTCATGGCTGCTACAAACAGCAAGGAGGAAACAGGCAAAAGAGCAAGACAGGCCTTCTTTCTGCCATTACATCACATCCTGGCTCTACCCCTAGGTCAGTGTAGCACTCACACCCCGAGTCCAAGGGATAAACAATGAACCAGTCAAAAATGCATAATATAAACTCATGAGGCCTGGGGGCCACAGACATAAACTATGACAAGGGCCTCGCAATGAACTAGACTAACTTCTGTTTTAAAATTCTTTTTTATTTTGAGCCAGGGTAACCACAAGGCACTACAGTGCTGAGACACCATTCTTGGACATAGATTCTTACATGTCTATGTGTGGATGTACCTTGATTTCATGTTGGAAACCACTAGGAGGTGAAGCGGCTCTGAGCAGGATTTAAATTTTACTAATTGGCTTTCTATGTTTAGCTGTGAATCTGTCCTAGGCCGAAGCCCCTTGCCTGGAGACAGGAGCTGATTCATAGTAAGTGAACCTCTATGAATCACAGGTCCTGGCTGAGGCCTGTAGTGGCTTGTGAGGCCAGAGATACCTTAAAAGGCAAGATAAGGCTACAGCTGTGGACAGTCTGGCTCCAACACCAATTAATTAGGTAGAGACTGCAGATGCAAAGATTACTCCTACAGTCTCACTTCTACCATGTCTCCATGATAAGACAGTGCTACTGAATTGACTTGATTCATTACTTGGAGACATCCTTGAAGTGACTCCCAAGGTCTTGCTCATTGGTTGTACTTTCCTCAGTTTCTCTGCCCTTTGTACTTGGTCCTAAAATAAGTGGACTGACACAGAGAATCCTTTGTCTTTACCTTCACAGTGGAGCCCTACAAATCATATAATTTCTCACTTTTTTTTTAACCTCCACCATAAAATAGTTTGGGAGATCCGGGATCTAGGGCAGAACCCCATAATGTCAGAGACATTTCACTTTGAAAACCGAGATCCTTATTCTCACACCCATGTATTATTTCATGATCAGATTCCATGGCTTCCTTTCCTGTGGACCCAGGGAGACCAATCTCAGCATCCCCCCAGCTTTCCCTGCATCCTGTGGCCCACACTGATGCCCCACATCCTTTACATGGAAGATAAGGATGGTCCCAGTTCCTTTGTGCTTCAAACAGCTGTGAATCAAACTCCTGAAAAGAAATCTTGCAAAGTTGTGCAGCTCTCCATAAGTCATAAACCTTTGTAAGTCATAGCACTCTGATGGAGCTGCAAGATGGGGCTCTGCTCTGCTCCCCATGTTCTCCCCAGTGCTGTTCAGCACCTGCCTTAAACCCTGCCATCAGATGGAGACACAGCACATCTCAGGGATGTGTGCCTGCATGAATCAGCTTTGGAGGCTCAGCGTTTTCTGCCCTTGTTGGTCACCTGTGGTGATTCTCTTTTGATTTATAAGAATTTTTCATCTCTCACAGAATGAACTCATGACACCACTTTTCCACCTGTATCACAAACTATCTGTCTGACTATGTCTTGTAAGGAAAGGTTTCTTGCTGTAGTTTGTACATTATACTTGTTTCTGTTTTTCAAATGCAATGAATCAGACCTTTCTAGCTCCCTTCTATCACTGAAGTCAAGGGAACATTTTCCAAAATAAAAAGATGAGTAGATACACAATGGTCTCTACATTTTCCTGATAGAATTGTCTACCTGGGGTTTTCTCTTCTATCAAAGGGCAACAGCAGCCAGTGTCTTCCAGTAAAATTTGACTGAACAGAATCTGATAAATGATTATTAAAGACCCAGAGTACTAAATTGCAGTGAGAAAAAGGTCAGATGTGGGTGGGGTATGGCAGGAGAGGACAGGGGTATGGGTGGGTCCAAAACTGAGTAGAGAGCTAGAAATCAACAGATGTGGCAATTGTACAAATAGATGATGTACTTATATGCTACTGAATTGAACATGATGAAACAAATAGTATCTTATCTTTAAAGGTACTAGAATTTAATATGCAGAATTATTACAGACTTAGTTGTAGAAATGTAAACTTAAAATAATACAAGGTGTACAAGGAGAGGGGAAAGGAAATGCAGGTGCTTTGCAGGAGTGGCCCTAAGTGGAGTTCAGGATGCTTGCTGTGGAGCCAGTAAAAGCCTCAGCTCTAGAATTTCTCAACACAGGCTGCCTGGCCATAGTTTTCACTTTGATCCCAAAGCTGGTGAGGTCACTGGAGATGGATCTAGCATAAACTCTGCATGTGGGACTTGAGCTCAGTTAGGTACTACCCTGTGTCAGCAGAAGGAGAAAAATCACCAACTATCCTTGTTCCTTGCAGGCCCTAGAACTTCCCAGTGCCTGTCACAGACAGTTCTGTGCACTAATCCACCCCCAGGAAAGCTTCCCATTCCTCTTTGACCCACTCACTTCTGCATGCCTCAGTGTTGCAGAAGGCCCCAAATCTTGGAGTCTTTGTCTGTGTAAAGTGTCCCATGCACTCCCCAGAGGCCCACAGACACAGGCCAAACCCTTCTGACTTCTGTGAGCTCAGGTTGGTCCAACTCAACTGGGCATCTTATAGATTTGGACATCAACCTCCTGCTGCAGTTGCAGAGCCCTGACCCAGCCTTTTCTTTGCCTTGAATGGGGTAGTGCTGGCCCAGGTGGTCCTCACGTGCTGACAGAAGTCCCTAATAGTGCTGTGACCACCTGTTCTCCCTTCTTCAGGGAAGCCTGGCATACACCTCCCTTTCCAACCCTTGTGGCATGTTGTCTCTGAGCAAAAGTGGTGTCTGCAGTGTAACTCATGGTCACTCTACAGGGGTGCTGTACTATAAACATCTTCAAAGTGAGTGGACAGAGAGTGTGGGTTCTGCCTGCCTTTCCTCCATCTTCACTTTATATAATGATGCATCACCGCATTTTGGGTGCCTTAGAGGAACTCCCTTTACCCTATTATGTGTTCACATGTACAGAGGCCAGGAAGTTAGGCACATTTACATTAATGTGGGTATTACATGGTGTTCTCTCCAGGGTGACTGTGTGGCCTGTACAACATTAAAGCACAAGACAACAGTGTTTATGTTTAATCTGGTCATTATATCTATCAGAGCCTAGGAAATTGATAATTAAATGCATCCAGCAGCTTCCTGCATGATTTCTGTGTGGACCATGATATCTCTCACAGAAATTCCTGCTCTGGATAATAAGGAATCCCACAGAATGACTCTCCATTTTCCTTCACAAAAATCAACAGCTTCTTCACCCAAGTGATGGATCCTTGGCAGGATGCAAATATTTCCCATGGCTTAATAAAAACAGCAGTGCAGGCAGGGTCTCAGCTCTGATGCAAAAGTCAGAGGTTTGGATAAAACTTGTTTCTCTGGTTTCTTATGTCAACCTAGACAAGACACCATGCCTCTCAGGAGCATCCCAATGTGTTAGTGTTCTCTATGGAAGTCATTCTGGCATCTGTCACCTGGGAACATGATCAGTGATGTGAGATAACATTTGTAAAATCTGTGGGCTGGTGTCACATATACATAGAGCACAGAATTAGAAGTGAAATCCAGTAACACAGTGCACACAATGCTGGCTCTTGCTGTGTGGTCATAGAAATGAGACTCATCTCCTGGACATGTTTCCCTGGTGGCTTCATGAGGGTGTGAAAATGCATTGATTCATTATTTCCCTATTTTCCTGCATGATTTCTTTGTGGACCATGTGGGCCATCCATATTTTTCATAAGCATCTCAATTTCTTCTATGTATTGGTGCTGTGGACTCAAATCAGGACCTCACACAGGCTGATCAAGCACTATGGATGGAGCTACATCCCCATATCTAAGTCCATAGCTCCTATATTCACACCTGTGTGAGCCACAAGGCCTATGGCCTGTGCTCC